AAAATTGAGGACAAACTGTCTGAAGTTCATATTTTTATTCTGCTTTTGTTCACATCTCAGTCATTACCAAGAGCTAAATGTTGTCTGTATGGTAAACAAGATTTTGTTGACTATAATCTGGCATATTTTAGAACGCTATATTTAAAATTTAAATATACATGGAACATCTAAATTGTGTCATGTGTAGAACGGTTTCACGGTGCTTGAGAACACCGGGAAAAGAATATATTAAATATTCTATACGAATTATTATTATTATTATTATTATTACTTCGTTAGATTTCTGTCGTATGCACATTTCTTCCAGGTTCCAAGGAGAAACCTAAGGTCAGAAATGGCTTCATGACATCTTCCACTGATCATTTTTTATAAAAAAAAAAAAAAAAAAAAAAAAAGACAATGATCACACATATTTTGCATGCATAAAGCTCTTCGTAATAGCTATCGAGATGATATGACTCCACATCTCCTCAGAGGTATTCCGATCCCTCGTGGAATCGATGTCATGTTGTTTTGCTGCAATTTGTCAGACTAGAATGGATCCTACACAATACTACAAACTATACCATGAATTTTGGCACTTCAATATAGATATAGTAACTTATATATATATATATATATATGTGTGTGTGTGTGTGTGTGTGTGTGTTACTTCAAACGCTATTATCAACAATAGCCCGTATTTACCCTATAGTAATATTCGTATTTTGATTATTTATCTGATAATCAAGTTTGGATAAGTCACAAGTTAACATACCCGTATTAACCGTATAGTTACCGTATAATAATAAAATAAGTTGGATTAATTAATACATATATATATATATATATATATATATATATATATATATATATATATATATATATATATACGCAACGGCCGTCCAGTGCTTTCTGCATTCTGTGGAGGTTTCTATCAGACTCGATGAATTACTCATATAATTATCAAATCCTCCCAATAATTACTGTTTGTCTTTATCATCGCTTGAACCGGCTTCTAACGCTACAGTAGGTAGAGGCTTGATGAGAGTAGTCGTGGCTCCAGGGGCACAGTCCTATGGTAATAGTGAATCTCAGTCGAGTTCCGCCACGGAATATGTGAGCGAGCGGCGCTTTGTCGAGTCTGGTTTGCAATTTCTGCTTCACCGAGGCCCACTTGGAACAGTTGGTATGATGTTCGCTTGAGAACCCAACTGTCAGGGTTTCAATTCTCGGTAGTGGATGCGCACTGCTGATGAGTCCCAAATATAGGACGAAACGGCCGTTCGGTGCTTTCTGCATTCTGTGGAGGTTTCTATCAGACTCGATGAATTACTCACATATATATATATATATATATCAAAATAACAAGAAAGAACAAACCGATTTATAATCCAGAGTTCTTTTATATTTATTTTTAAAAATAGTACTCGATACACAGTAGAGCACAATATTATAAATATTTTTAAAAAATATGTATTCATCGCGACACAGAAATTACCATGTTTCGAAACCAAAACCTAAATCTTAAATTAAACTTAAAATTTAAAGTTCAGTTCCATGTTCAAGCGATGCAGAGTAACTTTCGAAAAAAATTGATTTACTCTATTTATAAGCCAAATAGTATTATATATTTTCAGTTGGTTGGAGAATGAGAATTCAAAAATTCAAAAATACCCAGGAAAATGAAATTTTAAAAGATTTATTTATCAAAATTCGGACAAGATATTCAAAGGGATGTATATTTTATTACCGATTTCACAAAGCTTCGCAAAGCTTCACGGTGCTCACCACCTATGACACGACACATGTCAAGTCAGTAGTCTAGCTCCTGCCAAACACGGTATAGCATGTCTTGCATAACATTCTCCAATGCTTCAGTAATTCTATGCTTAAGTTTCTCTAGGCTTGTAGGAAAAGGGGGTATAAACCTGTCCTTTCACATAGCCCAATAGAAAAAACACAAGATGTCAAGTCAGGTAAACATGGTGATCATTTCAACAGCACCTTGTCATTATCACTGGTACACTCGATACATATTCCTGGTAGATTCTCAGTGAGATGAGTTGGAGCAGTCAACTTAGTTTTTACACATTTTGTTAAAATTTGACATCATTTGAGAGAGAATTAAACTGCAAAATTATGCCAACTTTTGGGGGTACACCCTGTATGCACTTCTGAATACATACTAAGTTATAACGTTCTCGCTCACTTCCGTTATTTTTAGCATTGCTTGGAAGGAAAGTGTGTAGAGTGTGGGCGTCTCATCACACCACGGATGTTCCACCAGTGGCTATGGCAGAAAAGATTGAGCAGAGAATCTACAACAAACTAGTTTCGGGATCTATGACTATGACTCCGAAACCAAGAGTCAGTCTTCTCAGTGAAAGATACCAACCTCTCCGAGACTGAAGAAAGCGCGTTGAAGCATGTAAAGATACTGTCGGCAGTTTCCTTCGACTCAAAGGACATTGCTCACGATCAGTAAATTCTAACTGGTCAGACAGTAAACAAGAAATACCACTATGACGTGCTGCGGCATTTGCGGGATGCTTTTAGTCGGTGAAGCACAGAAGTGCATGCGTCTAGTAAGTGGCAGCTCCACTATGACAACGCACTAGCCATTCAGCGCGCAGCTTGTGCAGAAGTTTTTGACTAAGCACACATTCTCCAGGTCCGACAACCACTATATTCCTCAGATCTCGCGCCTTACAACCTTTTACTCTCACCAAATATCAAATACCATTTGAAAGGAACAAAATTTCAAGACTTCAAGGCAATCCAAAAGAATGCAACGAGGCAGCTGCTCGCTATTCCAAAAAAGGAGTTCCAAGAATATTTTCGTCAATGGAAACGACGCTGGATAAAGTGTGTTGCTTCAGAAGTGGACTTCTTCAAAGGAGATTAAATGCAGAATTCATATGTGTTGTAGTTTTCATTTTATAGCACCAGTCCCAATACTCAGATAAAATTCATCAAGGAAGGCACAGTAGTATTTCCTACCCAAGTACTTTCGATCTCCTCCAAGATCACCCTGGTGGGGAGTGGATTACAAAAACAACCTTATTGTAACTGATTGATTATATTGATAATAGTGATTTTTTTAAAAAAAAAAACACGCGTGAATGCGTTCTTTTATAATTATTTAAAAAATTTTAATTTATCCGTATTGTAGCTATGGATGTTTTTTGTAAAACAAGCGTCCTAATATTTGTTGACAAAACTACTATACTACACCACGAAAATAATAAACAAAAACTACAAATTCTCGAGGCCCTCTTTATCAAAAGCAACCAACCAGCAACTCAACAATATTTATTACGAGTGTTTCAATATGCTGAAGTGCATTTAACAAAAAATTAATGCCATTTTGCATTTCTACTCATTACTGGTTAGCTCCCTTATATTATTGGGAGGCTTGTTTTGCAAAAAATCCAATAGCTACAACGGATTAATTTAATTTTTTTATATTTTTATATGACACAATATATATATATATATATATATATATATATATATATATATATATATATAAAAAAAAAAAACAAATGAAAACTACAGACAAAAGTTCATTTTTCCAGCAAGACATTCATTTCTGTAGTATACTGCTACCAGCAAGCAGAAATATTTCTTTTTTCCGATGATGGCTATTTCGGCCGAAACTAGTCGAGGAATCTAAATGAAATAATAATTTTAAAAAACGAAAGAATATTAATCTACAACCCAGTGTGCCTGAAGATTTTAATTTTTTAATATTTTTTATTATTTCAATATATATATATATATATATATATATATATATATATATATATATATATATATATATATATATATATTCAAACATGCTTCTTTGAATAATATAGACATGTGTATTTATTTTTTTAATGACCCTTTCCAGTTCTTTAATTAGTTTCTTGAGGTTAAGATGTAATTCATCAAGGAAAGTGCCGTAGTTTTTCCTGCCCAAGTACTTTCGATCTCCTCCAAGAGCATTCACAGTCGTGAATTACAAAGACAAATTTATTGTAACTGTGACCATTGTGATATTGTTTTTTTTTTTTAAATATGATTAAAGCTTTTTACTTAATTCTTCTTGTGTTCTTATAAGTGTTTTCTTTTCTAGGCAGAAAGTGTGTAAAATTTCTCCAAATGTTCTGCATATCGGTGTGCTTTCGGCTACTCTATCCTCGATAATGGCTAAACATTCCTCGTCACCGTACAACTGCGATAAAGACTAATAATCCTTGTTTGTTTGGATGTGAGAGCTCTGATTGATACGGAGCTGTCTGATAGACCGGAACGGGGGTCTGCATTGGTAGCTAAGGAGATACAGTGATATAATCATGAAATTGTTGCCCTGTCAGAGATTAGATTAAGTGATGAGAGTAGTTTATCTGCTAGAACGGATGGCTACACGTTTTACTGGAAGAACAGTGTTGAAACTTGACTAATGCATGGAATAATAATGCAACACAAAATGTACTTAGAACAAAATGTATTGAAACAAGAAAGTGTACACAATATTTACATATAGTCTTTTGTATATTCCTGGTAAGACCGTTCCTGGAGAATGTGTTGACTGAGTCGCAGTCGGGCAGAGTCGGGTTGAATCTCTTGATTCCTCCCTATCTTCCCTGTACCAACCATATTTATATGGTCGGTACTCCACTATGCAAATTAGGTGGATCCTACCACAACAGACAGGGAGAAAGGGGTGAAGAGTGGGGCAGAGTAGCCTTTGCAATCAAGAGCTCCCTTGGAGAAAGACTACAAGTTACCAACTGGTATAAATGATCTCCTTATAACAATACGAGCGCCTCTCGTGAAAGGACGTTATATGACCATAGTCAGTAATTATGCACCAACCACGCATGCAACTGAAGAAGAAAATAAACCATTTTTATGAAACGTTGTAAAGCGATTCGCTAAAAGTTCTCCAGGCTGACAAAATAGTCATTCTTGGTAATTTTAATGACATGGTTGGCAGGAACTGTATTAAGTGGGGATTACGGCAGCATCAAGTTGAAACAGCAGTTCCTGTGCGATCACCGAAGTTAAGCAACGTCGAGGTTGGTCAGTACCTAGATGGGTGACTGCTTAGAAATACCAGGTGCTGTAAGCTTGGATGTGCGGGTGGTGTAATTGATAAGGACTCGGAATTGAAAATTGGAGATCCAAATTCCAATTCCAGTCGGTTTCGTTATATTCACTTACGCACAAATACCCTGGGAAAAGATATGTATCTTGTCCCCCAGCTATGGGTTAATTAGTAAGACTTGGATCGCTAAACCATTACTATCCTCCCCCAAAATTCTTACAATGTAAAAATATTTTCTGGCTTTAAATAACCCGCAAAGGGTTGATAAGCAATTGTAAACGAATCAACCAATGTCGTATGTTGAGTGGACTTGGAAACTATGGCGTTGGGAAGTATAAAAGTAATGGTATGCTGTTTTCTACTTGTGAGAAGAGTTAGAATTGTTAATCAGTGACAACAGGTATCAGACAACGTGGATGCACCCGTTCAAAGCAATAGCACTTGGTATGATGATAAACTACATTCAATAGCAGGGCCTCTGATCGGGAGGTTTTGAGGAGCGTTAAACCAGGGTGGTAACACCTGTTAGGAGCCCAGCTACGGGCAAATAGTTAACTCCAAAACTGGGGTCAGAATACTATGAAAGTATCAAAATACATTCTTATAGTAAAAATACCAGCAATACATTTTCATAGTTAAAAAAATTACCAGTAACACATTTCTTATAAAAGAAATTACTAATGCTCCCAAGAAAATTAAATTTCGGCATTAAATGACCCATAAGGAGTTGATATGGTGCTAAATAAATAAACAACGTTACTAGACTATGTACTTGTGAGGCGACAATTCAATATGTACTTTATGTTCGTACTACGAGGGGTGCTAAATGTCGGACTGATAATCGATTAGTACGTGTCAGGTTAAATCATGTTATTAAACCAAAAGTGCGTTTCTCAAATGTGCTCATTCCGAAAAAGTTCAACATCTCCGATTTGAAAGATAAGCAGGCGTGTAAAAAGCTTGAGGGTCGCTTGGACAAAGCTGACTGGAAAAATACATGACCAGCCTTTAAAGAATATGTTTATGGAATAAGCAATAAGGTTTTATATTTCGTGGAGACGTAACACAAAGTCTTGTTCGAGGACGATGATGCAGAGATAGAAGAAATTTTGCAAGAGAAACGAAAATATTACAATCAACCATTCAGAAACCGTCCCGATCAGGATACGAACATCCTGTTCTAACGATCGAATCAGAAACAAAAGCTGTTCCCAATTAGGATATCAGGTCACTAATCGGGAGCCAATGAGAAGCGAAGCGGCACTTTCGAAGCGGATCTCATGATATATATATATATATATATATATATATATATATATATATATATATATATATATAAACTAGATAGAAAATCAACCTAAATCAGAATCAAAGAATTAATTTGTTCCTCTTTACGATTCTGCAGTCATCGCAACATACCCAGAGCTGAAATACGACACATGCGCAAATCACACAATCCCGCATAAATACATTCAATCTCCTTCTACCACATTTTAAGCAGGTAACTACTACAGACAAATATATGCATACATACATAATATATATAAATATACAAATACAAATAAAAATACGAATATATACATACATACATACATATTGTTCCGGACTCTCTGTCTGTTTGTCCCTCTCTCTCTCTCTCTCTCTCTCTCTCTCTCTCTCTCTCTCTCTCTCCCGTATGCACCATATACATTTGAACTTTTGAACCTCCAACTTATCACTCTATCTTTCTGTATATATATATATATATATATATATATTGTATCATATTAAAAAATATTTTGCATATAGTAACACTGTGGATTTTCTTTTAATCCTGACACAAAACCCATAATTGATATATGGTGAGAACAGACGCTGTCATAAGATAATCTCCACCACCCACCATAAAACACATACTCTTTCACATTGATCTAATTATGCAGAATAGGTGTGTATATAAAAAGCAGTCATTTTTTAACGTCTTGGGTATGACGATAAACTACATGCGGCAACAAGGGTGTGGAACAAACTTTTAATTGCTACTGTTCCTAGGTCCAACCTGATCCGAGGCTGTAGCGTCAGTTAGGGTACCAGCTATGGACAAATAGTGAACCCCAAACAAGACACTATGAAAGTATAAAAATACATTTTTATAGTAAAAATACCAGCAATACTTTTTTATATAAAAAATGACCAACAATATATTTCTAAAGCAAAATGCTCGGCAGTACATTTTATTTCTAGTTGAAGGCATACAATTGCATTCAAAATATATTTAGTTGAAGCTATAAAATTGTGTTCAAATCATTTAGATTTTGGCATTAAATAACCCATAGAGTTTGATATGCCGCGAAACAAATTCAACCAACCAACCAACATGAAAGAACTCTTTCATGACATTAATCCATATAATATCCTACAATTTATTAAATCAAACTGTATTCTCAAATATAACTTCAATAAAATTACAACATAAAACATCACATATCACTGCCTCTAGTAATTATGTCTCCACAAACATGTATATGTACAAAAGCTGAGTATCATCTACCATGTATTCAATTGTGAAAGCTGAATGACATATTTTTATTGCTTCAAAGCTCACAATAAAATTAAATTTTGGAATTAAATGACGCATAAGGAGCTGATTTTGCCGTTAAAAAATACAAATCAATCATTCACTTTTTCTCTTTATTTATTTTTACGTGTATATATTATTCATATCAATAGTATCTGTTTCAAAATTTGTATTTCTTGTTTTTCTATTACTTTAGAAAATTATAATGACATTATTTACACTATTTACATTGTTCGAACTGTTGTCCTCATCTTTGTTGTCATATCCACGACGTTTCGGCCATTGTACGCTCCGGCCTTCTTCAGGTGATTGGAATTTCCAACCGAACGCTTTATTTCGTCCACCGGGGTAAATTGTTCTAGTACCACGCCTATTTCAGATATTTCAGTTTAATTTATTTCCCTTTAGTAGCTCAACTCTCCAAGTTGTTGTTCACCTCTGACGCGGCCAGGTATTGAACTCACATCTCTTTGGGTCAAGTCACTGCATTATTTCAACTAATGCGTTTATCCACGGGGTCATGCGTGTAAATAGTTACAATAGCTCATCCCAGAAATATAGACAGATACAATAACATTGTCGATAATCTTTTCATGAATATTCAGAAAATAATTATGTATTGTATAGATGCATTGAAATTTGTTAGAAAGATATATACATGTTTCACACACGGTGATGACGTTATGATGCAGACAAGAGTCGTATGCACAACTGAATTTGTGTTATTTTTTCCTTTTTTTGGGGGGGGTTTTAATCAATTTAAGGCAAGGCAATAATGCCACTAAGACGCAAGCGGGAGCTACTGGGAGTGAAAGAAAACAAGAAAACTTTAAAAGGAAAAGGAAACTCAATCCTAAACAGGTAACATTGGAAAAACCCTACTCCTGTTAAAAAAAAAAAAAGAAAAAAAACGGGGAGGAGTATTAACCGGACGATAGGCGAACCTATCTACTCCTACTGAGTAGAAAATAAATAATTAGTAAATAAATTTTCAGAATTTGCACGGAGACATTAGAAGTATAGAGTTGAAATAGACTTTAGAAGGAACCGGAAACCCAATCCTAAACAGGAAACAAGGGATAAACCTCTAATTCTGTTCAAAAGACCAAGGATGAGTTGAACCGGTCGATAGGCGAACTTATATGGTTTATATGCGTTTGGTTTACACGAGTTCTGTTCTAATGGTTTTGCATGTACAGGAGCCTACTGTAATCCCAATGTAAGCGCCATTTATCGTTGCCACATGCTGTGTTCGTTATTATGATTTTTCATTCTTTTTCTTTTTTTAACTACCATCCGCTTTTCACTGAGCACTAGTTTGACTCCTGTATTATATTTTTGCCTATTTTTATCATTCTTTCGGGGGGGGGGATATCTTTATCTTTACCGTGTTTAGGGTTTCATTTTTCTGAATTCTTTGCCGACGAATTCTTATGCCGACTCGATTTTGAATTTGTGGAAAAGAGTGGCTTCAAAGGAATTCGTTATCGGGTGACCCAGAAAGTTTGTTCTAGTTGTTTCGTCAAAATAAAAGAAACTGTTTTGTTTGTTTATTTATCAAACGACATATTTATCGTTTTTTTTCCTCCACTATCTTCTACAATCTTTTAGATAACTCCATAACTCAATTCTCTGAGAACTTTTTATCTTTCTTAGTAAAGAATTGATTTCGCTGTTTTCAAGTAATGCCGAATTTACTTATGGGCTTCAGCCCAGTGCTTTATAATCTGGGGACGCCGTACACGTGAACAAATAGTTTGCAGCAAAGAAAGCTCGAAGCGAAAAAAACCTTTGGACTCTGCATTTTAATGAATGTTATATTAAATTATAGCAACGAAGAATATTATAATTATTACTAAATACCTTCCTTCTTTTTGGGGTGGTACTTCTGTTTAAAAGTTCGGTATGAATCGATGCTAACTAGAAATACTTGTTCGAGTCAATCGTTTGTTCTCCCAAATATTCTCTTCAAATATTTTGTTCTTAACCAATATGCACGATGGAAAGTGAAATTGTATCAAGTGTTGGAAATGTGTTTGGGAAAGAGTTCCTGTTTCAAAAATTAGAACACTGAAAGTTGTTTACATCATTTTCACAGTGGGACGCGAATGATTTTCCGGTGGAGAGCTAGCTCATCCCCTAGTAACGGGCCTTATTCGAAAAACGATCAAACCCAACTGGTACATTATCATTCAATGAGAAATCTCCAGCACAAATTTTTTGCAAACCACTTTTCACACATTCGATCATCCACGGTACCTTCTCCATAAATTGCACAAACGTTTTCTTTTACGTTTGAGTCGCATAATTTTTTTTTGTTTGTTTTTTCGTTTTTTTTTTTTTGTTTTGTTTTTTCAAATGAACAGGTACCATATGCCGAAAATGTTATTTTTACTCGTCAGTTTTAGAATTAATAAATAAGAACGCGCGAATTTTAACAACTATCATAATCAGGTTAGTTAAAA